TACAGGAAGTGAGAATTTTGCTTGTGGGTCACAAGGAGTAATAGAGAGTGGTCCCACTCCTATTTGGAGGGCAAGCATCATACCAGAGGATTATCTTCAAGTCTTAAAATCTAAAGGGATTTGCTGTGTTAGGTTTTGGACTGGAGAACTGTCACCCTTCCTTCTTTCCTATTTCTCCCTTTTGGAATGGGAATGTCTATCCTAAGCCTGTCCCACCAACAAGCATATAACCTTAGTTTCACAGGTTCACAGTGAAAGTTTTACCTCGGGATAAATCATACCTCAAACTTCACCCGTATCTAATTAAGATATTTAGGTGAGATCTTTCAGACTTTACAGTTGAGGCTAAAACAAAGACTTTTAGGTCTGTTAGGTTGGAATGAATGTATTTTGCATATGAGAAGGACATGAATTTTGGGGGAAAATAAAGGCAGAATGCTATCAACTCAATGTTTGTGTCCCCCCAGCAAATGCATATACTGAAGCCTTAATCCCCAATGTGATGTATGAGGAGGTGGGGCCTTTGGGAGGTAATTAGGTCTGGAGGGTGGAGCACCCTTGTGAGTTAGTGCCCTTGTAAGATGAGACATGAGAGAGATGACCTCTCTCCATCATGTGAGGATACAGCAAGATGGCAGTTTCTACAAGCCAGGAAGAGGGCCCTCACCAGAACCCAGCCACTCTGGCACCCTAATCTTGGGACTTCTAGCTTCCAAGACGTTGACTATCACGTAATTTTCAAACTGACTTGAAATCTAGCATTTCTGTTTAGAACCCATAATGGATCAGTGCTTAAAAAGTAATATTTTTAAAGTGTAGTGCAACACTAAGTAGGAATAAAGTTCACTGTTGTACATACTGCAAAACTATCTCTGTGGCAGTCTGTTCATTTATGCACCAAGCCATCTCCCTTTCCTTCCTGGACACAGCTAGACTACATTACCTTTGCAGTTAAGGCATGGCCACAACCGCGTTCTGGCCAGTTGACTGTGGGTAGAAACGGCACATGCCATCTCCGTGCCTGATCCATAAAACCTTCCCCATGTGCCAACTTCCATTCTCTGAAGAATGACTTAGAGGAGGGCAGAGCCACATAATCATGCAGTCTGGGTGAGGAGAGCCCCTGAGGAAGCTGCCAGGTTAGCAACATATATGCCAGACTATTACTCCAGTAACTCTTATCAGTAACTCTTATCATGTTAAGCCCCTAAAATATTGCATCTTTTTTTTAAACAGCGGCTTACTCAGACTCAACATAAAAGCTTAACAAAAAATTAACTAAGCAGTAAAATCATGGCTGACCACTAAAATAACATTTTTTATTCAGTTTTACAAAGAATGGACATTGGTGACAAAACACCCTATCTAGCACTGGAGCTCCCTGCTTCCTACTGAATGTGTTCTTAATCAACAACTTGAGCTGGTACTGAGGACCACACCCAGCTTTGCAAGCAATCATGTCTCGCAAATGTGTTTCCTGACTTGAACACTCTGAAGTTTATCCATAAAGGCAAACCTTCATCAGTATTATATGCCAAGACAGAGTGAACACAATGATTCCAAAATTGAAGATGTGATTAGCTGGATTCTTTGGAATGCATCTCTGAAGAGTTGTTTGAAAAGATTTGGAACTTTTTGAAGATACTTAGAATACTCTGATACAAAGGTCTTCATCAGTGTCTTCTCAAACCAGATGGCAGCAGCAGGTAATTAAACACATACATACACACTCTCTCTTTTCTTCTACCATTTTATAAATATGACATAATTAAGGAGGTCAATATGTGTTTCAAATAGCATGTAACAAGTTTGTTCAACAAAAGTCTAATGAGATTTTGGCCAGCAATTAATTCTAAGCATTTGGGTCTGTAAGAGAAGGCAGCGGTCCATCAGTGACTACACAAATGGGAGCTTTTTAATACCATGCTCTTGTAAGTTCATACTCAGTATCCACCTCTGAGCCTCTGGCACACCCCGTGAAAGGAAGCTGAAAAAGAAGCTGTAAGCAAAGGCTGCCTGGGGCTTCATGTGCTACCCAGTTGCATACACAAAGAAGGTGGAAAACCAGGACTAATCGGCCTACAGCGACTAAGCTAATACACACGGTCCAAGTGTGTGTTTATCAGTCGATGTCTCCTATAGGTCAGTATCACCACTGGCTAGGAGCCTCTAATGACCAATAAAAGACATGGCTGTAAACTGATCTAGGTAAAGTTAGAAAGAAGACTCAAGACAATTAATA